TCCCGCCCCTCTCCTCCCCCTAATCTCTCTGCTTCGGCCCCTTCGGCTCAATATGATGGCGGCGTTAACAAAGTGGCCAGCTAATCTCCCGTCGTGCCGCGAGGCACCCCGCGCTCTCACAACCACTCCCCTCCCTCTCTCTCTCTCCCAGCCGTGGCCCCCTTTCACGGCAAAGCAGCTCATAACGGGGAGCAACAAGTAGCGGTGTGGTAAATACGATCGCGGCTGGAACATTGGCGATGACTAGCACGGGAGAAAAAACGATGATGGTGCGTGAGTTGAGGCGGGGAAGATGAAACGCGCTTGAGGTGCGGGAAAAGAAAGAAAATCGAGGGTTGATTTCGGTTGATTTACGCTATGGTGGCTACACTGGAAATTCAAGTGAGCCAACTGCCAACAGCAGGTAAGTGAAAAAATTCGTACACCTGCAAAGTGTGTGACAAAATATTCACGCACTTACAGATGAGCAAATAGAGATTTGGTACACATGAAAAGGTAGCCGCAAGTGTGTTAATGGTCACACATCTGCACGTGTGAAAAAATTGTGTCATCCATGCATCTGCTGATGTGCGACAATCATACACTTGGATTTCTAGTGTCCAGTTACGTTCAGTCAGTAGTCGGTAGTCGGTGTCAACCCGTTCATGCCTGCTAGCGCTAGCCCGTACGCACCTGTAGCAGGCCGTATTTGATCTCCAGGTCGAGGAAGCTGTAGTCCTTGGCGTGCGACGGCGGCCTCGTGACGGTGTTTGGGTGCGAGGCCCCCGTCGTCGGCGCGCCGCCCGCACCGCTGCCGGACGCCTCGTGGTAGGCCAGGATGTTGGCCAGACTGGCCAGGATGGGCTCCGAGGCGAAGGCCAGCGTCTCGTTGCACTCCTCCACCGAGTGCAGCACCTGCGCACCCCAAACGACACAGTTCAATTACGACAAGTAGTATAAACAACTTTTAAAAAACGAACAACATAACCGATAACAAACGACAAGAAAAGTTTTGCTTCTTCCTTTTTATGGCATTTCGTTCGTGTCGCGCATCGATCACCGCCACTGCCATTTTGACAGCCATTTGAATATTTTATCGACGCACTCGCTGCTCAGCGGCGACACACGGGGGCCTTACCGCCCGACCAACAACGGCCATTTTCTACACACTGGCACGCACTGGCAACATTTCCTCTTCCAATTTATCACCGAGATGGAGGGGAAACCAAGACAAAAATAACATCCAGAAAAATTGTTTCTTGTTCCAAGATTAAATTTATTCTTGAACAAGTCACTATCGTCTTTGAAATAAGATTTTCCTGTTATTCAAAATAAAAGATAACATCATCTCGTTTCAAATGTAAAATTGATCTTGGATCACTTGATGCGATGAAAAATGTGTTTGAAATATGTAAGTGTTTTTCTGGGTGTACACGAACAATATGTGTCTGAAACACGCGAAAGAAACGACTTCTTTTCGTACCTGCAGTATCCTCGGGTGCCGGAAGCGTTCAAGCTGGCGGACGCTGCCCCTCAGCACCTCGCACACCGTGTCTTTTCTCTTGGGTTTGTGCAACTTCTCAGCCAGCCGCTTCTCGAACAGGAAGATTGAGGCCTCCTGAAACAACAAGAAAGTAAAGAATTACATTAAAAATACCGGAGTAAGAAGAAAGGTCGAGGTTCGAGAAGTTTACATATCTCTTCCGAATTAAGGGACGTGGTTGTGATTTGCATAACTGGGCTAAAATAAAATATCAATTATACAGGCAAACCAAGGATCTCATTGTCATTCATCAATGACAAGACAAAATAAACGGAAAAAAATAAGAGTAATATCACTCCGCCCATGGTTGATGCCCGAATTTACCAACGCTATCGTGTTCGCTGTCACCATATAATTGTATTTGAGGCGTAGAATTCGCAAATTCGCAAGACGGCGCGGTCTTAGTCCATTTCATGGCATGTTTTTTGCATCAGACGAAAAGCAAGCCGTTTCGTTTTCCTCATCGCTGGCCGCCCAATTCATGCACTCCCGCGTCCACACGCACGCTGCCGCGGGCTGGTCGCCAATCTCCACTGCAAAAACTAAATTACACTTGAAAATGAAGCTCGAACACGGCAACAGTGTGGAGAAATCCTAACATCCACTTAATTCTAATGCCGGCCCACCCCCGGCTGCTGCCGGTCGAAATCCAGCCTCCCCTATTCTCTCTGCTCGAGCCCGGCATTCAGCCGCACGCACACAGGAGCACCAGTCGGCACAATTTAACCCCCTCCTACTTTCCCTCGCACACACCCTTCCCCATCGGAGGCGTTAATGTTTCACCCTCTAATTTACAATCCGTTTCCAGCCGACACACACTTTCGCCCAAAGAACACAGACACACACACACACACACACACACACACAGGATTGTTCGCTCCACACGCGATGTGCGTGTGAGAAGGGCAGAGAGAGAGAGAGAGAGAGAGAGAGAGAGAGAGAGAGAGAGAGAGAGAGAGAGCGACGTAGTAAAAGAGGGGGTGGACACTCTTCGTGCCTGTGCTGTGCAGTGTGGAGCAGGGTGTACCAGTGGGCTGGTGCCAAAGCCTGCCGCTGGCCTGGGGGACTCAAGGAAGGGAGCTTCAACAGGTTGTATTGTGTGGCCAGGAAGTTTGCCTCATCGCCCATCGCGGCCCTGCTCCCCAACCCTCCCCCCCCCCGCCCCCCCCCCCCCCCCCCCCCCCCTTCTCTCTCTCTCTCCGCGAACATACCCTCGTCCTGCTCTATACCGCCTCAAACTCTTCGCGCGCCCCCCTTCATCTCACCATCTCTTTCTCGCATCGAAAGAACAAAACTCGCCCCCTCACCTCACACTCCTGCACCCTGTGTGTATTGTGTCCCGTAACAGTCCAATTCGCTACATCTCTCAAACTCTACTCTTTATGCACGCAACCATCACTCTCGTCGTTCTTTCCTCGCCACCCCCCCCCCTCCCGCCCCTCTCCTCCACCACCCCGCGCCCCATAGAACCCTCCTGCCCACGCCATCATGTATACACCGGCACCCAGCCGAACTCCACCCTCCGGCTTGAGCCCCCCTCCCGCCCCTC